TCTTATAATTTTCGAGAGAAAAGAATATTTGAGGTAAAGAAGAGAATTACATCCAGAGTATAGAGACGAGGCACGACACGCAGGCCGTATTTAAAATTACAACAAATATAACTAAGCCACAATCATCCACCATGCAATAATACATACAAGCCTCACATGCATCACATCATACATATTAAAGCATACACCGGGCGAACCGCGCTCGCCCCAGACCTAGTTTATTCTATTCTACGGAATAAACTATCAACAATAAATTAATTAAACTAGCAAGTAATTTAATTAAAAATCATAAAATCCTTTAAATTTCCAGAATGTTAGAAATTAGATTTTCTAAATTCCAGAAAATAAAATATTTTATTGCATACCGTATTTATATATATTTAAATTCGAAAAAGGGCTTTTATTTCGAATTAAATATATATATGTTTTCTAAATTAGCAAATAATTATTGGAGACTCCCAGTAAACTTTATTAATCTGGAAATCCTAAAATTCCAGAATGAATAAAATTTAAAATTTTGAAAACCATTTTTCAAAGCTAGAAAACCGAAATTATATTGTGAAAATATATTTCGAAATTCCAAAAATATACAAATTTATTTTCCAAGTAAAAAATAAGTTCCAGAACCAGAATATGATTTTTCTAGAATTTAAAATATTAAGTTTGCAATTGAAAATAATTAAAAATCGGACTAGTGAATAGTACCGATCCAATTACTTCAAAAATACAAAATAAATACTTTTACGTGTTTAAAAATTATAAAAAAAATTATACAAGCTTAAAATCTCTGGTCTAAACTTATTATGAATTAAAATAAATTTTTGATGGTCAAAAATAAGTTTTCCTATTTTCTATTCAATAAACGAATTTAAAAATAGAAAAATAGGAAATTAATTCCAAAAATAGATTTTAAAATTTCTGAGTTATATTTACATGTCAAATACTTCCCAGAAAATATAAAATCTAATTTTCATAAATATTAAGTATGTATGGCACAAATAACAAGTATTCTACACATAAACTACTTAATAAGAATAATATAAAAATACCCCAAACAGTAATTCCGAAATTTACTGAACAAAATTATATTAGGTCCAGTATCTAAATATGGCCACCTAATTAAATTTTAATGGGATAAATTTTTGTCTCCAAAATTTATTGACTAATCTACAAAAACAATAACGGTAAAAACTACTAAACTAGTAACTTCGTAAGCCTGCTCCGATACCACTATTGGGAAACGAGGCTTGGATAACGCAGCGGAAAACAAAAATTTATAGTCCAAAACTCGATTCCACCCAAGAACAACTTACGTAAATTACTAGCTATAGTAAGAAATTTACCTTAATGGTGAAAACGAAGAACGGAGGAACGGTCGGGGATGGTTTTGATGAGATGAACGTAGCGCCAAACGTATGAAGCCTCCAACGTATCCACACGAACTTGCTCCGGAGTCCAAGATTAAACTTGTGCTAGCAAGTTTAATTTAGGATAGTAAAAACTATAATAATACTACTTTGGGAGTAATAAATATATAGTAAAATATTTATCTTATAAATATTTCTTTATAATATTTTGTGTATATTTCTAACACTTTAGAAAAATAACTTTGAACACAAAATAGGATTTTTCTTCTCTCTTCCTTGTGATGGCCGAAACTATTAAGTGTAAAAGGGGAGGGATTGTTTTTCATTTTATAATAAACAACTTAAATGAATTTCTAGGAAATAGCTTAGG